AATATCTTTCACCTCTTTACTTAATTCCTTGGTAATTTTTGAAGGTAGTTTGAAGGGGATTGTTTTCTTGATTTCTTTCTCTGCCTATTTGTTGTTGTATATAAAAAGCTACTGATTTTTGTAAACGCAATTTGTATCCTTTTAATTTGCCAAAAAGTGTTTTTCAGATCTAAGAGTTTTTGGTGGAGTTCTTAGAGTCTTCATATCATCTGCAAGTAGTGATAATTTTACTTCTCCCTCTCTTATTTGTATTCCTTTTCTTTCTTTCTCTTGCCTTTTTTTCTCTGGCTAGGAATTCAAATACTATATTGAAGAAGAGTGGAGACAATGGAGACCCTTGTCTCTTACTGACTTTAGAGAAAATTATTTCGATTTTTCCCTCCTTTTAGTATGATATTATTGGCTGTTGGTTGAACATAGATAGCCTTTATTATATTGAGACACATTCCTTCTATTTCTACTTTGTTCAGAATATTTATCATAAAGAGACATTGAATTTTGTCTAGTGAGATGTGTGTGTTGCTCTTGTCTTTTTTTTCTGTTAATATGGTCTATTATATTTGTTGATTTGTGTCACTTGAACTATTCTTGTATGCCTAGAATGAAACCAACTTCATCATGGTGTCTGATCTTTGTACTGTGTTGTTGAATTCAGTTTTCAAGTATTTTATTGAGAATTTTTACATCCATGTGCATCAGGGGAATTGGTTTACTTTTCTTTTTTAGTTGTGTCTTTATCCAATTTGGGTGTCAGGGTAATACTCGCTTCATAGAATGATTTTCACAACATTCCTTCCTTTTCTATTTATGAGACAGTTTGGGGACTGTTGATTAATGTCCATCCTGAAAGGTCTGGAGGAATCTGGCAGTGAATCCCTCTACTCCTGGGCCCTTCTTTGCTGGCAAACTCTTGATTTCTGCTTCAATGTCATTGCCTATTTCAGATCTTAAATGTTAATATCCTTTGGGTCAATTTAGGTTGGTCATGTGTGTCTAGAAATGTATCCATTTCGTCTAGATTTTACAGTTTATTAGAATATAAGTTTTTGAAACATTCTAATGATCCTCTAAATTTCATTGGTATTTGTTGTACTATCACCTTTCACTTCAAATTTTGTTAATTTGTGTCTTTCACATCCTTTTTTGTTTAGTTCCACTAAGGAGTTGTCAATCTTGCTTATCTTTTCAAAGAACCAAGCTTTGTCTCAGTAATTTTTTTGTCTCAATTTAATAAATTTCTACTCTGATATTTATATTTAGTTCTACCTATGAATTTTGGGTTTGGCTGATTCTTATTTTTCTAAGAGCTAACGGTTATCTATTTGAGCTCTCGCTGGCTTCTTAATGTAGTGCTCATAGCTATAAACTTTCCTCTTAGCACTCCTTCTTGTGTCCCAAAGGTTCTGGTAAATTATGTTTTCATCTTCATTTGATTCTAAGAATTTTTGTCCCTGCCCCTATTTCTTCAATGGCTTTTCTGCTGTCAATTTCTAGTTTTATTACATGGTGGTCTGATAAAGTACAGAGGGCTATTTCTATTTTTAATATTTCTTAAGACTCACTTTGTGTCCTAAAATATGATCTATTTTGGAGAAAGCTCCATGGACTTCTGAGAAAAAAATGTATATCTTGTAGATGTTGAGTGGAATGTTCTGTACATGGCTGTGAAGTCTTTTTGATCTATAGCATTGCCTAGTTTTGAAATTTCTTTATGGATTTTTTGACCTATCTTTTTTTGAGAGTGGGATATTGAAGTCACCTACTATTATTGTGTTGGGTTTCTCTGTCCTTTTATGTCCAGCAGGATTTCCTTTATGATATCAAATGTGGTGATATTCAGTGTGTATAAATTTACAACTGTTGTCTCCTCTTGATGTATTGTTCTCTTTATCAGTATGAAGTGGCTTTCTTTTTCTCTTCTGACTAATTTTGTTTGAAGTCTGCTTGTTCAGATATGAGTATAGCTACTCATGCTTTATTTTGGGCTCCATTTGAATGGAAAGTCTTTTTCCATCCTTCACTGTGTTTGTCTTTGTGCATTTCTGGAAGGCAACAAATGGTTGTGTCTTATTTTTTAATCAAACCTGTCAGTCTGTGTGTTTTGGTTGGAAAAAATTGAAGCCATTAATATTTAGAGTTATTTTTTAAGTTTTTCCAGTAACTCCTGGCATTTTTGTAATGTTTGGCTCTTTCCTAATCCTCATTTGCTTGGCTAGTCATCTGATGGAGTTTATTCTTTCCCATATTTTCATGGTTCTGTCTATCTTTCTGTTCTGTGGATAGGATTCCTTTAAGGATCTTCTTCAGTGCTGGCTTAGTGGTCACAAACTGCACTAGCTTTTGTTTATCATAGAAGGTTTTTATTTCTCTTCAGTTATGAAGGATACTTTTCCTGGGTTCAGTAATCTACGTTGGTAGTTACTTTTTGTTTAGGGCTTGAAACACATCATGCCATGCCCTCTTGCTTTTATAATTTCTGTGAGAAATCTGGTGTAATTTTGATGGTCTTCCTTTACATGTTGCTTGGCACACCTCTCTTGCAGATTTCAATATTATTTTCTTGTTCTGTATATTTAACAAATTTAATAGTATGTTTTGGTGAGGTTTGTTTTCTGGTTTTGTCTGGTATCCTAAAAGCCTCCTATTCATGTATAGCTGATTCTTTATCAAGATTTGGTAGATTTTTCTCCTGTTATTTTATTGAATGTTTTCTATCCCTTTGGCTTGCACCCCTTATCCTTCTAGGCCTATGATTTGTAGGTTTGGTCTTTTAATGTTGTTCCAGAAGGCTTTCACTTTCCATTCTGACTTCTTTGTTTCTTTTTCTTTATCTGATAGTTGTCATAGATCTACCTTGTCTTCAAGCCTTGTTATTCTGTTTTCAGTTTGATCCACTCTCCTGGACCAGCTCTCAACTGAGTAACTTATTTTACTTATTGAGGCTTTTCATTTCTGGAATGTTAGTCTAATTTCTTCAGGATTCCTGTATCTTTATTGAATGCCTCTTTCATACCCTACATTGTCTTCCTTGTTTTGCTCAGATGTTAATCTGTACTCTCAGAATTCCATCAGGTGTTTATAAATGTCTCTGTTGATTTTGTTGATCATTCTCACAATCACTCTTGAGTTCTTTGAGCTTTCATCCTCTTCACTATCCTTAATGTCTGCTACAGTAGGATTTTTGACTTTTAGATGTGTTGTGTTGCCTTGTTTTTTTCATAGTTCTTATGTTTCTGCATTCTTGGGATTTGCACAACTGAGAACAAATTCTTGATTGGAAGTTTTAATCACCAAAACATTGAGTGTTCTCAATGTTCAGGCAGGACTGTGTAGTTTTAGGATTTCAGTGTAGTTTATTACTACTGAACTGTGTATGGAGGGGGATTATAACTCAGTAGCCAAACTTTTGCATGCATACTGAAGGCACAATGTCTGATCCCCAGTGCCACACAAATAGAGACAAATTAGGTGGAGTCTCTTGTAGTTCCTTATATATATGTGTTGGCGTTATAGGTGGGTTGAGGGCAAGGCCATTCCAGGGTCTGTTGTCCACTTCTGTGCTGCTTTCACATTAGAAGCTTCCCTTTTTTGTGTACTGGAAATCAATGCTGGTCACACAGTGCTTTGCAGTCTTTGGATCAAGCAGGTTTTCACTTGCTGCATGGGCCCCCAGTTTGTGCCATATGGTTAGTATGCATACAAGCCTAGTAGTATCCCCCAAATCCCTCTGATAATGAGGGTACCAAATACAGCATTGAGTTCTGCACTACTTGTGGAGAACTGAGGCACTTGGGTGCTCTGCCTGCAGGTCTCTGTACTTTTGGACCCCACCCAATAGTTCATCACCCTAAGGGAGGGAGGATGCTGGAGGACATGATATAATGCCTGGGTCCTGTGCTCAGAGCTCTCTGCTGCACCTGGCAGGACACAGCTGAAGTCAGCAAATAGCTCCTGGATTTTAAGCACTCTAAAACTTCTCCAGTCATGGGCATGGTGCCTAGAGTGTCAGGCAATTGGGCTTGCTATAGCCCTGAAGGGCAGGACCTCTCCTCATCACAGCCTTCACTTCCCTAGCCTCCAGCTTCTTAAACTTCTCAGCTTGTCCATGTCAGACTCTCTTCCTCTCCATGACTGCCTCATAACCATCACATTCCCAGACACTATGGCTGGGTGTCAAAACTTCCTGAACTGTGGATTGTTCCTTGTTTTCAAGTCCTCTAAGTAGCTCAGTATTGATTAGTAGGCCCTCTGTCAAGATGGCACCTTTCCACACATCTTCAACATATGGGGAACAAAAGAATGTCTTTCTTCTCTGAAGTTAGCCCGTAACACTGGGGAAGTCACTGTCCCACCAAATTCCTGCATTGTGCTTAAGGTTTGCAGAATGTGTGGGTTTGTCCTGCATCTAAGTCTGTTAGTATGTCATGAAGGCTGCCTAGCTTCCCTAAGGGTGGAGGCTTCGGCTTTCTCTCCCATTAGAGTTGCTGGGGCTGGAGCCACATATGGTTTCCTAATATACTGTGTCCTCTTTCTGTTTCTCTGTGCTTTTCAGCTGTCCTGTCCCTCTCTCACAGTTACTGGTACTCTTCCTCTTTTCCTCTCTTCCAAATATATTATCTTCTTTGTAACCTGGACTCTTCTCATTCGTGGAGTCAGATGGAGAGAGCCTCTGCTCCACATAAAAGTTTTCTGTAATAGGAACTTCTCACATTGAACATCTGGTTGTAATTATTCAGTCTCACTTTCCCCCATGATAAGTTTGAGATATCTAATGAAACACAATTTGTCTCCTTGGAAAAGGTGAAATATTTTTTGAATAATTTCAGAAAATGTGGCAACTGGATTTAGATATAATTAAGACAAATGTTATATTGGATCTCAAGAGAAAAATGTCCTTTCTTTCTAAACAAAATATGTCCTAAAGTGCACAAGAAAAAGAGATATAATTAATTATTCATCCTTTGGCCATTGCTCGTAGCCGTATCTCCTCTTTGTTTCAGCACTGCCCAAGCTATATGCCTTGCGGATCCACCGAAGCCCGTGGCAGAATACAAGTTCCCCGAGAAGCTGCCAGGACAGTTATATGATGCCAACACACAGTGCAAGTGGCAATTTGGAGAGAAAGCCAAGCTTTGCATGCTGGACTTTAAAAAGGCAAGAGATTATTGGCAAATGCTCAATGCAACATGATTCATAAAATTGTTTTATTTAGTGTAACTGACATTGATATATTCTGCATTTCTTGGGCACCTACCAAATGTCAAATCCTGTATGTTAGGGCTGGTCCTGTGTAACAGAAAACACATGTTTTACTGGCAAAGTAGATAGCAGGAGATACTGCTGTGGGTATCAGTTTCCATTTGAGAACTGACTTGGCCTGTTAGGTTAGATCTTTCTTTCTGATTTATCATGTGGGAGCCCAGCAATAACTTTCAGTCAGTTTAAGTTGGCAAATTAATACTCTGCTTTTTTTTTTTTCAAACATTATTAAGAAAACAATGTTCTGCTACCCCACCCCAATATAAGCATAATTTATTAGAAAACAGCAGCCTATCTGGGGCTTCTGACTATTGAATTCCCAAATAAAGTATTTATAAAGTAGTTTCTCATAGAAGGTGATATTACCCTCAGCCCCAGGGACATCTCCACAGTGATTTCCTGTATACATTCCTCGTAGAACACAGAGATGTAGGCTCTTGCATGACAAGGAAAATCAAGATTTAGGAACCTGCTCTACTGAACCACAAAGAAAGCTACTCGTAAATTAAATGAAAGTAACTAGTTTTGAGGTTTCTTTTATTTTAGTTTATTATAAAATCAAGAGTAAAGTAGACAAAAACAAAACAAAGCCCCTAGCCCTTCACAAATCTGCCAGCATTTCAGCATGTACTGGGAATACTCTCAAGTTAAACCCAGTGTGGTAATCGTCTTCCTTCTGACCTCAAAGGGGGGCTCCCCCAAAGATCAACTGCAGCATGTGCCAGGACTGGGTTCTTATCTCTTTGGCTGGGTGATCTCAGCTTGGAACAAGGATAATAAATCAGTCGGCAGTAGCATACAGCCCCAATGTTACCCTTTCTGTGGGGAGAAGATAGAAATTTTCCAAGAATTCTTTTTCTTTTCAAGTATTGCTCTTGTATTTGTCAAAGAAAGGAGGCACAAAACTGATGTTTTCCTTTAAAGATGGGGTTTTCCAGATTTTGCTGCTGTTATCCACATTCTCCCACATGGACCTTCTCATTCATGGTATCCTAATGCATTCACAAAATATAAGCATTCATCATGTTTAATGCAAAATGCCCTTTTATTACTGAGGTAATGTTTAAATGTTGTGAAATGAAATCATCCTAAGTAGAAAATTTAAATGTTCACAAACATGTGCACCCCCATTACCTTCACCCCCAGCAAGCTGTAGCCCGTGTCCACAAAGCTGTGGACACCGGAACATGAATTTTCCAGTGGCCAGGTGCATTGTTCCAGAAATACGTATTTCTGTTTCATAATCTTGCTTATATTCTCTGTAGCATCCTTGATATTTGCTACCTAAGTTTCATAGAGATGGTGTTAAAATCTCCGGCCAGGCTTTTGCATGTTTCTGTTTCTCCATTTAGTTTCTTCTTTTAACATTTGTTTTGTATATTCTGAGCCTCCGTAAATAGGTGTGTACACATTCAGGATAGTTATATCCTCCTGACTATTTAACTGTTATGAAAATAACTTTATTTTTGGTCATGTTGCTTTTTTTAATTCTATTTTATCTGATATTAATATAACTAGATAAACTTATTTAGGAATGCATGATAAATATTTTATCTTTCCACTTTCAATTTATTTGGGGTTTAATATAAAATGTCTGTTGTAACCATTCTTCTGTTTTGTTACTTTTCTGTCCAGTTGAACAATCTGTAATCTTTCATTATAGTGTTTAATCAGTTAATATTTAATGTAATTATCGATATGATGAAATTAAATTGACCATTTCACTCTTTGTTTTCTATACTTTTGTGTCTTTTTTTGTTTGTGTTTGCTTTTTCTCTTTCTTTTGGATTAAACTACTTGTTAACAATTCTACCTTTTACCTCTACTTAGCTTTTTAGATCAAGTTCTACTGTTATTTCTCAGTTACTCTAGAGATGGCTGCAGACATCTTCATTAGTGTCTATGTAGAAATATGCCAACTTTGTGTGAAATGCAAAATGCATACAACAAATAAGTGATTGTTTTGCTCTTTTATCCTTCATATTATCTCTGATATATCTGATATTTCTATGCATTTTATAAGCCACATGGTGCAATGCTATTATCTTGTTTAAATAGTTGCTTTAAAAAATATAACAAGAAATAAAAGAACACCTTTTGTATTTGCCCACACGTTGACCATTTAGTATTTACATATTCCTGAAGATCTTTGTTTCATATCGGCATCACTTTCCTATGACATGCATAACTTCCTCTAGATTTTCAGTTGCATAGATCTGTTAGCCACAAATTATCTCAAGTTGTTCTCGTGTTTATCTGAAATGTCATTACTTTTTAAAATGGCATTAGTTCACTCTAAATTTTGAAGACTATTTTTGTTGGTTAAAGACTTCTAAATAGGCTTCTTTTTTTCTTTTTTCAAAATATAGTTTAATTTTTTTCTAGACCACTGAATTGTTTCCTAAGCTTTGGTCATCATTTCCAGCTTCCTTCTACCACTTTTAGTCATGTGTTTGTACCATCAGTGAAATCTGCATTTGGGTTGTTGGAATTTCCAGTTCCACTGTTGCCCTGTCATCTTCTATTTCTCTTCTGAAATTTCTTTTGTGTTCACTCTATGTCTGCTTCTTCCTTTTTTGCCTAGAATATATATTATTTTGTTATATATATATTCATATTATACTATATTATAAAAGGAAGAATCCTTTCCGGCCTCATCTACTTTGCTTTTTCTCAGCCCTACAGCACAGCCTGTGCCCTAGCATGTGATTATTGCAAACAGGCCTGGACCTTTTGGCTCTCCACTAAAAACTGCCCAGATGCTCACTGAAGTCTGTCCACTTCGGTGGGCAAAGACCTTGTGTCTAGCATTGTGCTGCTTTAGACTTCTTCCCCAATTAGCTTCCAGCATGCAGCTACATCCTTTGCTAGGCTACCTCGGGTCTCATCCTTTGCCTCAATGCCTGCCCCTTAGATAAGAACCCATAGAAAATCCTAATGCAGGCATTAAGTTTCTCGGAAAATCATACAGCACTTTCTTAAATATTCAAAAGAGTTTTGTAGGCAATTTCAAAACTGCTCTCATCATGTGTAATCAAAGGCACCACCAGCATCCAGGAGGTTCTGTCATTCCATAGGCCTCACTTTTCCCTGTCACTGGGAAGAACTCAAAGAACAGGGAAGTAAAAACCAATCCCTTCACCCTAGAGAGCCATGTATGGTGTATAAATCTCAGGCCCTGTTTTACTTTACTGACAGAGCAGCCCTGTGGGTCTTCTTCCCTTTGCACACACTCTTTGTTCTTGAATCTTTCATCCACACATTCTCCTCCCCTCCATGCCATCTCCTTTCCTCCTGAAAGCTCCTCTAAATCAAGAGTCAGATCATACATCATGTTTTATCTGATGCTTTCCCTGAATCCTCCACACAAAACCCTTTTCTGCTCCTGGAAGTTTCACCCTATAACCTGGTTTTCTATCATTGGCCCTCTTTACAAGGCCAACCTCAAGATTATAGTAGGAATCCTATTCATTATGGAACTTCTTATCTAGCAAGACACTTCATATATTTTAAGCTTTCATCAAAGGTTTGGTGACGGTGCATACATGGATGGATGCAGACATGGATGGAAGATCCACCAGTGTTTTAATCATCCTTAATTTAAAACTTAGGAAGCCAGTCATGGTGACAAGTGCCTGTAATTCTAGCTACTCAGGAGGCTGAGACAAGAGGATCACAAGAGACCAGGAGTTTGAGGTCAGCCGAGACAGCATTGCAAGGCTGTCTCAAAATAAAAATCTAAATAATAAAAATTAAGATTTAGGTATGGTGAGTTTAGTGAGAGGTGTGGTTGAGAAGAATAATGATAAAATGTTTATATGGGTTTTCTAAATTGTAGTTTTTTCTGTATTTTCCATAATGTCCAGATTAAGCATATTCAATAATTAATGTAGAATATATAACTTGTTTGAATGTATAAAAAGTAAATATAAATGAATAAAGTTTCAGGGATAGAAATTAGTGGAAACTGGGGGTCGTCTGCCTCCTCATTTCTCAGATCCACTGTTGCTGAGCGGACATCCCCCTCCCTTTCCCTGCAATGGTTCAGTGATGTTTTGTCACAGATGTTGAGGCAGTCTGTAATGCCAGTGGTCTTTTTCCTCTAGGACATCTGTAAAGCCTTGTGGTGCCATCTCATCGGGAGGAAATGTGAGACCAAATTCATGCCAGCAGCGGAGGGCACCCTGTGTGGGCAGGACATGGTAAGACACTGGTGCCAGGTGTAGCATCTCATCAGATCTCAGTCCTTCAACCCATGCATCTTTCTTCCTCTTGGACTGGTATTTTTATATCAGTATTTCCTGTATACCTGTGTGTCCCTGTGTACCTGTTTGACCCATGTCAAAATGTGTTTTATATGGATACTATGAACAGGACACCTCTCTTGTGAAAATATAATTGATGGGCTCTCTGGGATTAACAGCAATAGAAGTCAAGCCATAGGCAATGGTGGAATGGATTTAATAGGGCAAAAGATTAATCCATCGACCCCCTGTCAACCAGCAAAGGACCAGCAGTAGCGTTGTTTAGGCCTGCATTGATGAGAAGATGAAGAATAGCCATGTTGACCCACTGCTGCTCCTGTGCAACAGACAGAGCCATGGCAAGAGAAGAGAAGAAGCATATAAGACAGCAAATTCATTACCAAGGGATAGATAGTGACAACTTTGTCATTAAAGCTTAAGAACAAGTAATCTAAGCACTCAGGAATAATATTTTAATTTAACTTTGCCGGCATTGTTTTTTAAGAATATAAAAGGCTATGGATAAAATAGAAATAGATTTTGTCCAAATTGTCACTTCACTGTAAACACACATTTTCCTTTATGTGTATCTGACCCTTTCAGTGATGTCAATGTGTTGAAAGAGTTATGTATGCCTAATGCCTAAACATACCACTGATCTATCCTGCTTATGTTCCAAATTACATCACATCCTAAACGTACTTAAATATGACTGCAGACAGAAAGCTTTAAATTGCTCACAAGCAAACCTAAATTTGAAGTATTGCAATGCAGACTGACAAATTTCTCTGCAACAACCCCTGGCACTTACGCAGCCTGGGACCTTGTTAAAATGCTTTAGTTTTCATTGCCTTGATGGGGGTAAGCTTGATAGTTAAATTCTTCTAGCAACACAGGTACAATTAATCCATAGTACAAATGCAACAAATGCTTTTAGTTTCTTGATAGAAAAAATGGTTACAATGTGGCACTGGATTTGGCAGTTCAGATTTTCAAAGAAAGTTAGGTAATTCCCTGAGCTGCAAATAACCATGACAGTTCTGCTGAAAATTGGTAGCTATTGATTCTTCAGGAAATAACTTGAACAATTATGCTTGTCTCTGCAAAGTCTGACCTCTCTTTGTGGTCCTTGAATTGTTATCCTCAGAAGGCATAAGATATGTCTTCAGATGTGCTGTGATCTTTATAACCAAATACTTTTTTTTTTTCTGGGTAACACAGTTGTGATGTTCCCTCTAAAAACCCTGTATGTTCTTGTTATATTTTATTTGCCTTGGAAGTACTGTTAAATTAGTTTTTGATATTAGTTTGAATTACTTCCCTGATATTTCAAGTACAGATTTTCTCTTCAGACTGAGAATAACTAGAGCATGTTAAGGCAGAGGGGTTCCTCCCAGTTACACTGGAAGCATCAGATGGCCACTCCTGGTCACATGGCTGCTCTGTGGCTGAGCTTCGTATCACACGTCACAGTGCCTTTGGGGTTGGCCGTGTATTCTGTGCGTCATTGGCTCTCATGGAGAAGCAGATGGGTGCATTGGCAAATGCCTCAATCTTTGGGGTAGCTCTGGAGTAGCTGGTGAGTTCTAGATAAGAAGGTCCCCCTTGCTGTGTTCCTTTCCAAGCACTTTTGCTCCCCAGCGGAGGCCCAATTCCCCCATCGCTTCTGCTACTGAGCAGCATGGGGGTTGTGCATGGGCGAAAGTTAACTAATAGTTATTTCATGTCTTAGTGCCAAACTCTGCACTTAGTGCATGGTGTGCATTCCTTCTTCACCACAGCCCTCAGAGATGACCCAGTGCAATTCCCCTAGCCCTCAGAGAGCATTGCAGCAAAGTTATGCAATGCTCCCTCACTAGGAAGCCTCCACTGCAGTCTGGGGCTGCACCTACACAGGTGCTAGTTCTTCCGTTGTGGGGGGTCCCTGATGTGGAATTAATCCAGCTCTCATTTTGTGATTGCACTTGGTACTCGGGAGAACACATGGCCTGTGTGATTACATGGCTTACTTGGACAGCTCAATCTGGTTGTTTCTCTTATCCCTGAGTTCAGAAGAGCTCAGAACTCTGAAGGAACTGGCTGGAGGTCACAGAGCTCTTGGACCTGATGGATGACCTTCAAATTTTGCTCCACTGCATCAGTTTTTCTACTATGTTACTTGCTTTCCTCTATATATTGGGTTTATATGTGGTGTGCTGAGCCTGTGAACAGTGATCACAACGGAAGTAGACACATTGTGGTGACATCTTACTTTCTCAGATAATTCTGACTCTCGTTAAGCACACTATCCGACTGTTAAATATGAAGTTGTGATGACCATGGGGCATTCCTCAAGCCTCACTCGTGTTTCAGTGGAAATCTTGTGTGTATATTGTAGTCAGCTCATCAGTCCAAGGCCTCAGTGGAGACCAGAAACCACAGAGAGTATCAAACCCTGCCTGACACTATGTTGTCTTCTGGACACACATACAAATGATAAAGTTTAATACAAAAACTAGACACAGTAAGAAATGAACCATGGGAAATAATAGCAAAATAAACCACTTATAATACCATCCTGTAATATAAGTTATGTGAATGGCACACTCACCCTTCCACTTGGATGCAGTGGAATGATGCAAGGCTCCTGTGATGAGAGGAGGTGACATAGGCCTGTGCCACAGCATCAGGCTGAACACAACATGGCAGTTGTCACAAGTGTGCTGTCACAACTCTGTAACCCAGTGGCTATGGAGCTGATGGCCCATATGGCTGCTGACTAAGGGAGGGCAGGGTGTCCAGGGTGGGACAGACAGATGGGTGATGTGTGTCCTGGGCTGCATGGACATTACTCAAAATAATGGACTATTCCTCAGAGTTTCCATTTAATGATTTCACACCACCATTGACCTTGAGTAACTGAAACTTGAAACCCATGGAAAGCAAAGCTGTGCATGAGGAAGAACCAGGTATTTTTTAAACACAAATGAACCCTAACCTGCTGGTGCCTTAGGTCTGTGATATGCCTAAAATTACATCTAAATTGTGAGTATGCGTGCCTAAGTGTTCTCCTCCCAACTTCCTTGGAGAAGATATGGTGCTTTCTCAACAGTCTCTGAAAGTTTTTTATAATAGTTAATAGCTGTTTGACAATACTCCAGTGAGAAAACCAAAATGTGTTTTTGCAATAAAATTAATTGCAGCCAATCATCCTAGCAAAAGACTATAAATGATACATATGGCCTCTAAGAGTGAACTAGCTGAAAAAAAAACTAGTGGAGTGTTACATATCTATGAAAAAGGAGATGGGAAGATGTCCATATCCTTCTGTGGAACAACTTTTAGAACATATCCTTAAATGGAAAAGCAGAGTGGAAGAATATTTGTATCACGTGCCAGCATTTGTCAAAGACAAAAAAATGCTAATGTATGTAATCATCCACTTAAAAAAAAAAGGATACGTTGGGTGTGGTAGCACACACATATAACCCAAGGTGCTTAGGAGGCTGAGGCAGAAGGATCATGAGTTTGAAGCCAGCCTGAGCAATTTAGCAAGAACTTGTCTCAAAATAAAATAAAAAGCCAGGGTATACTTCAGTAGCAGAGTTGCTTCCTAGAAAGTGTGAGGACCAGGGTTCAATTCTCAGTACTAGGAAAATAAATGGATAGATTATAGATGGATGGGTAGATGAACAACTTGGTTACAATGCCCACCCATACAACAGACTGTAGTCTCTTAACCCAGTTTCCAAATAAAAGCAATCAGGTCTTCTTGTGCAATGGATGGTTCCAGGTCTAGAACAAGAGCAGTTAAGGACAGGCTTGGGGCACCTTGTTAAGTCACAAGCTAGAAACCCCCAAAGACCCCTGGGTCCTGTCAGAAAGACTCCAGAGCCAATATCTCCAAAAGAAACAAGCAACCTTAGCATGACTTGCTTTAACATACAGACAAAGCATCATGCTTCTTTCTCTTAAGAGAACTCAAACTCAGGGAATCCAGGCATTTGATGGAGTACTATTTTTGAGAAAAAAAATACCCTCATCTAATAATGAAAAAGAATAAAAGAAAAAAATAATCCAAGTGCCAAAGATGCTCAAAGATATAAAGGGGCAAGGAAATGAATGTGAATGACTGCTGAAAACCTCAGGTGGGATGCTATTGACAATGTCTACAGTCTGCAAGTCAATCAACAAGTCCTGAACCACTAAAGCTCCTGAATGTGAAAGTCCTAGGCATTAAGAGGCATTCTGCATACATACACAAGTGTTGGCTTGCCAAAAATCCAGCCCTCAACCTGGCAAGCCACTAGATCCGCGGCCTGATTGCAGCAAACCCAGGAGACAAACGAACATGTCTGAGGACTTCCTGGAGACACAGGCAACAAGATCCAGAATATGGAAGGCTACCACATAGATGAGGTGAGCAGAGAGAAGATCCAGAGAGGAACAGACTTCGAAAGAGACTTGAGAGGCTTGCCAGCCAAATGCAAGACATGGACCTCGTTTCAGCTGAGGCTGTAAATTTTTCTCTGAGATAAACAATGTGGTAGATGGAATTTGAACACTGACTGGATATTTGATGCTGCTAAGGAATTCTTGTAAGTCTCTAGGTATGATAATCGTATTGAGTTCATGTCTGTGAAACCTTTAATTTTGGGAGGCATGGTCAAGTTGTTTGGGAGACGCAAAGCCCGGGATTCGGTGTTGGGGAGAGGACAGGTGGAAGTGTACAGATGAGGTACTGTCGGACTCCAGTGTTGATGTGCGGATGGGTGGGAGCCTGTGCAATTGCTTCGTTGCTGTGGAAAGCTGGCTGACCCCCCGCAGGCCCTCAGTGGATGAGCTCAGGACTGGAGCCCAGGTGCTTTGCAGTGAAGCCCAGATGCCACACAGAAATGACAAGGTGCTGAGTCCCATGTCACCTCCAGTTAGACTCCTCCCCCGGGGCCGCACTCTGTTCTGAACCTGAGCAGTGAAAAGCACCTTCTTTCAGGAGAGGTCAGAGTTCATTGACTTGGTAGTTGAACAAACAGACCCAGTGTCACTCACGTAACCGTCCCCAGTTAAGCCTAAGATCCAGGAGCATGTATGGGGATTCAGAGGAGGGTGCTAGGCTTCAAGAGACAAAAGAAGCAACATTAGATTTGTCTTTTTAATAGATGCTGCTTCAATGTATGTATGTTAGTGTCGATGTCCATGTCTGTGTATTTACAGAACTCCCCAGCGCTTTGTGCTCCAACAGTGATGAAATGAACCTTCAGTGTATTCATAACTCATAATATATTTTATATTTATTTCACTCTAAAACGTTTAGTGGTGCCGTGGAGGACAGTGTGTGAAGTATGGTGATGAAGGCCCCAAGCCCACCCATGGCCACTGGTCAGACTGGTCCCCGTGGTCCCCTTGCTCCAGGACCTGTGGGGGAGGAGTGTCTCACAGAGACCGGCTCTGCACCAACCCCAGGTACAGGTCTGCTCCCTCTGCCTTCCCAGCCCACCTCTGCCCGAGCCAGGGACTGTCAGCAGTGTGCTTTACACTGTCCTGCAGCAAGTAGGAAGGGCATTTGTACAACATTTCTGAAGCAACCATCTCCCTTGGATATGATTTAAGATGCTTATAACTTCCAGTCCCCAGCAAGAAGTAACCAACCGCAGAGTGATATTCAGAAACTGGGTTTTCACCAAATGCATTTGTACTAGGAGGGGTCTGTTTAAATAGCTAAGTCATGAGATGAGAATATGAAACACAAGTGAGTAAAGGAATAAGAACAATTCTTTGAGCAAAATGTTTTTCTATCGAACATATTCACCTTTATAACAGGCAGTGGAATTGTGATCTTCTATAAGGAAACCAGACGGTGCAGTCATCATGTGGGGAGGTGACAGACCTTTCCAACCTTCCTTTGGCTCTTCTGCCTGATTCAAACCTAAGTCAAGTCATGTCACTCCCGTCTGTGACACTTGAGGCCCAAAAGGATCCCTGCTCCACCTGTCCACTCAGGTGCCCTCACGCAGGTGCGCATGAGAATTCCAGAGGGGGAGGAGGAGGAGGGGTGCCAGCCAGGTGGTGCTCTGACTCAGTCCTCCGTCCTCCCACCTGCCTGTCATAGGAGGCCGGTTGTACATCTGGAAAGAGAAGCCTTGACTGTCAGTGTCAGCTCTGCACTCTCTCAGTTATGCCATCCTGGGAAAGTCCCCCTCCTCACAGTTCCTCCCTGTGGAACATGGAGACCAGCAGGTCCTCCTACCTCCTCTAGAGGATGCTGGGCAGCCTATCCTGTCCTGCAGGGGTGCAGGTGACATACTTTACAGGACAGGAAACCATGGCCCACTTCACTGACATGGGAAAGTGTCCACTCCTGCTGAGAAACACGCTTTTCCCAACTACCCCTGCTAAGTAAATTAATGTTGTCTGCTCCACTCCCCACTAACTCTAATTTCCAGGAAGAGCAAAGTAGCTACGAAACATGAAGTCTCTAACTTTGAGATATGTGTTCCAGACCATCGCATGGAGGGAAGTTTTGCGAGGGCTCCATGCGCACCCTGAAGCTGTGCAACAGTCAGAAATGTCCCCAGGACAGTGTGGACTTCCGCGCTGCCCAGTGTGCTGAGTACAACAGCAAACGCTTTCGGGGATGGCATTACAAGTGGAAGCCGTACACTCAGGTGGAAGGTAAATCTCAGATCCCACATCCCAGCTTAGACTTTGTCATCTGTGCATTTAGGGATGGTGTGATTTGTAGTGTGATGCTCAGGTGGACCAGATATCACAGCTCTGTGAGGGCACAACAGCACACTTTTTTTTAGGGGACTCGTTTGTTTCAGCTTGTCCAAATGCCATGTCATCTTATCTGTACTTGACCAGCTGAGTGGTCAGAAATCCACAGATCAGATAGAGAGTGTGTGAAAGTACTGAGATTCACTGGAGAAGTGATTAAAAATGAGAAGTCCACATTGGATTGCTTGCTTTTAAGAAGTTAAGACTCTGAATAGTTGATGGTGACAGTACTGTAAACATGTTACCCATTGCACACATAATTATTGCAGACTGAAGGAAAAATTTTAGTGTTTTTAGTGTCAACTATATTCAGGAAATTTTGTTTAGAAACTATACACCAAGAAGTTTCTTTGTGGCATGGATGAAATTCTGTTGCCAGTGGGAGGGATATGTATTGTTCTGGTGATAATGGTGATTACAATCATAAAAAGTTGGTGACTCGGGTCATAGTTAAGGAGTACCTAATTAATTGACAGAGACTCTTAGGAACAATCATAAGTTGAGATATCCCATCTCAAATTTGCTTTTATTATTTCAGTATAAATAATCTTCTCCATGGTGGCAGGTTGCAAACCATCTCACACAAGCATATAGGGTTGTGCTTTTACCCCTAACCTGCAAAAATGAAGCCAGTGAGAAGCAGAGCAGTAGGCAGCACTAGACCATTGGACAGGAGCAATGGTAGAGCCACCTTTGAGACTGGGACCAAAAATGTGTGTCCTGATGAGAGTGGAGGTCATGCCTGTAATCACAGCTACACACAAAATAGAGGCAGGAGGATTGGGAGTTGTAGGCCAGCCCAGGTAAAAAGGTAGTACCGTTTCTCAAAACTAAAATGAAAAACCAAAGGCCTATGAGTGTGGGCCAAGTGGTAGAGTTTTTGCCTAGCATGTGGGAGGCCCTGGGTTCAGTCCCTAGTACCACCAATAAATAAATAAAATAAAATAAAAGGTATATGTGCTATTCTTGACTTTGCTGTTCTTCAGTAACTAAATTAGTTAATCATGGAAGCACATACTAACTTTGGTTCTTAGAGTTACTCAGTAGAGTCTCATATCTTGAGCAAAATGGAAAATATCTGTGGGTGAGTTTCAAGCCGATGGAAACTCCCAACCGTTTCTCCTTTACCAAGAAGAGAAGAAAAGCACAGCAGTTCCTATAAAAGTTCCAGTTAACTAGAGGAAGCATAGGACCTTGAAGTGCGTTGCTGAGGGAAGACAGAGGTCCTGCTATTCCTTAGGTGTGGGATTCTTATTTGTAGAAAGCGTGGCCCCCCTGGGAGTTTTCACCTAAAAGTTATCTTGTCGGTTTGAAATGTTTATGTATTTCATCAAATGCATTAAGAAATGTGGTGAATATTTGTGTTCTTTTACTGCATTTTACTCATAAGAACTTTGCATTGCTAGTGATGCTGGTGACCTTTTCACATTTCCACAAAACAGTAGTGAATTATGGTGCCACATGCTAAGGTTGTAGTGAAGTCAACAAATCTTTACTGAATGCCTACTATGTGCCAACCATGGTGTAGAGATCAGTGAGGAACACGGGAGGAAAAGCATCAAAAACAATAATAAATTTAAGGGGAAACCAACGGCCAATAGGCAGCCATGAACAGTGTCTTTGCAATGTACTTTTGTGGGGGAGTATTTTTACGGGGGGCAAAAAGAAAATCTAAAATTCGGAACAAAAAATGATCCGAGCTGAAGTATCTTTCTTATTTGTGTTTGTGTGTGTATTTCTTTTTAAGATCAGGACTTATGCAAACTCTACTGTATCGCAGAAGGATTTGATTTCTTCTTTTCTTTGTCAAATAAAGTGAAAGATGGGACTCCATGCTCGGAGGATAGCCGTAATGTTTGTATAGATGGGATGTGTGAGGTAATAATAATCACTTATTCATTCGACAAATGTCTCCAGACAGTTTGCTTTGTGCCAGGCATCCTGTGGGGGCTAGAAAGACCAGACATAAGAGGAGCCCTTCCCTCCAAGTCACAGCCCAGTGGGGGAGAAAGCCAGAAGAGCACAGATTGATGAGTCTGCCCTGTTGCTGTGGAGGTGTGTACAGACCGTGAGCAGAGGGCACTGGGCTTGGGGAAAAACCAGAAGAGCACAGATTGATGAGTCTGCCCTGTTGCTGTGGAGCGTGGACAGACAGCAGAGGGCACTGGGCTTGGGGACCAGGGGCCAGTTTGCAGTCACCATAGCCATCCCCTCAAAAGCCTTAACCCAGACCCCTGCTGAGGCAGTGCAGGAGGAAAGGGGTGTGGGAGGTGACCCAGGAGAGAGTTGGCAGGCAGAGGGACAGACAGTGACAGCCTGCCACCATTCATAAAGATGAGGAGTGGAGAGAATTTTGCTACACACAGCAAAGGTGCTGCCAGATCAGCGCCATGGCAGGTGAAGTGCTAGTTTCCCCATGGAAGGTAGCATGGAGGTGCTGGGAAGCGTAGAACTCAGGTCTAGCTCCGGTCTCCTCCAGGCTGGGGGTCACGACACTGGGTCATCCTCTGAGGTCCTCAGTGCAATCCTCCCACATGGACGAAGGCGAGGGAAGAGGCTCCCTGAGGTCTCTTAGGTTTTGTCTGATTATTAGTCGATTTGCTAAATATTTCATTGTTTCTCCATACTTACTAAGAACACTTAAAATTACTACAGTGTCACACTCCCTTCTTTGTAGCTTTGAAATCCAAAGACTTGGGGGACCTGAATTCATCTGGTGGGAAAATCTGCCATGAACTACTGTGGGGCCTTTCTGTACCCCACTTTGTGTGAGTGTTTTGCTATGGAAACATTAATGTGTTAGTTATGGGGTGTGACCCCTGCCCTACTGGGATTCTCCTATACCCAATATGTATGCCCAGTTCACTCAACCTTTCTAAAATCATACACCTTTGACTTCTGAGATCCATCTGGCTCGAGGATTTCAAGCAAGGGAGAGTGAAGAATAATTTTTTTGTTTCCAAATGGATTTTATTTTTATACACAGAGCTTATCCTCTTTGAGAAGGAACATAAAGTAAGCACCAAAATTATATGGAATCTACTAAAATTTTGAGACATTGCCTAGATCCACCCTTTACAATTTACTAGCAGGGAGAAATTCCACGTGGCAACTGTGTCACCTCCCTGCCATTGATCAGGTAGCTCAGAAGCCCTGGTGGCTTGTTTCAGGACAACCTCCTGGGAACACCTTGCTGGTCATCGTACTAAGCTCCTTATGGATCTGAAATCCACCTGTCTCCAGCATGACTACCCACCTCGGGGCTCCCCATACCCACTTTGGGTAGCAATGATGCGGAGGCTTCTGAAGAGCAGCAGGAAAGGCTCACTGTGCACATACTGGGTTATCCAATAAATATTTGTTCAACTATGTGGGGAGGAGGTTTCTTGCATGAGGTTAGTGACCTTGTCCCTTTTGCTGTCCTTTCTTACATGAATGCCGTGTGATCCTGTGGGTCCTGTAGAGAGTCGGCTGTGACAATGTCCTTGGGTCCGATGCTGCTGAGGACTCCTGTGGGGTGTGCCAGGGCAATAACTCAGACTGCACTGTGCACAGGGGCCTCTACAGCAGACAGCACCACACCAACCGTGAGTGTCGCATTGCCACCTGCAGGCCTGAGCAGGAATGACTGGAACTGGAGCTTCAGAGGGGAGGGGCCAGAGAGGGAGTGAAAACAGCAGGTGCTCAGAGCTCTGATGGCTCCCACCTTGGCTTTCCTTGGGGAGCCCTTTGCTTCTCCAGCTTTTGGGTTTTACTGGACGTGGGTCTTAGTCTACCTGAGTTAAAGTGTTTTTTACAAAGAGCAAGAAGTATAAGAGCTCTGCTCCAATTGATAAAAACAAGTCCCATACAGCTGTAATGTTCCCGGGAGCCGGAACAGACCTACCCATTCCAGATGTTATAAAGAAGCCACATTAAATGAAAAACTGTGCTCTCATCTCCCTTCTCCAGAGTATTACCACATGGTCACCATTCCCTCAGGAGCCCGCAGTATTCACATCCATGAAACGAACATGTCTACCTCCTACATTTCTGTGCGTAATACCCTCAAAAGATATTACCTGAATGGACACTGGACAGTGGACTGGCCTGGGCGGTACAAGTTTTCAGGCACTGCCTTCAACTACAGACGGTCCTTTAAGGAGCCCGAGAGCTTAACTTCTCCTGGACCAACCAATGAAACGCTGTTTGTGGAGGTAGAGGCTAGCCCCTTTGGCTCCAGGGTTTGGGTTTGGTAATCGTCTGGTGTCTGTGCCCTCATTGTAAGCGTGCAAAGAATGTGTAGCCATTAATACAAGAGACATTCATCCAGCAGGCTGAAGGGGGCAATGGACTTGTTCGTATCACTGCTTGCTTGGTGTATGATCAAGCGTGTGTTTATGTACTTAACTGTGCTCCCATCATTGGGTCTTCATCAGTTGGTTTTTACACTCTTTCTGTCCGGTGAGTTCAATGGTCATGGAGGGACGCCCTTGAGGAGGTGAGATGGAGGCACTCTGTGACTGTGCTCTGTCCTGTAAAAGTAGGGGCAAGAGCTAAAGCCCATGCTACATGATAAACTGTTTTTGTCACAGCATTGACCCTCACTGCAAGCCATGTGATCCCATCAGCCCCCATGCCCAGCAAGTGAGCCACCTCTCAACCTAAGTCCCTCTGTTTTCCACCATAGATGCATAAGCTCACAAAATACCATCAGGCTTCTTCTTGACAACACTATTTATCCCAGAGTCCTGGCCAGATGGCAGCAACAGGGAATCAATTGCTACCTCCCTATGTTTTCTATTTTTGTGCATGGTTCAAGGAAAGCTATTGGTTCAAAATTTGCCCCATCAACTTATACCTTGCTGGGAAGATAGCAGTCATCTGGATGACTGCTCCTGCTCTCTGGGACAGGCAGCTCCTTCCCATCCTCTGTGTCTGCTGGAAGATGCTTCCCCAGGTGGTCTGGGCATGGCTGGAGGCAAGGCAGCTGGCACATCTCCACAGGTTCACCTCCATCTTCCCCTCCTGACCTTGAACTGTTCCCTTCCACTGCACCATAAACTTATCCTGAATTACTTTTTGTTTCTTATTTATCTCTTGCCTTCTAGTGCTTTGAGCTTGAAAAATCATAGAGAAAAAGACATTAGTCAGGGTTGAAAATGTGTGGGGCTTCCTGAAAAGCTGTTCTTGATGGCAAAGGGGTCTGGAAAGCATCTCCGTGGCCTTGACGTGCAGCCACCTATGGTCACCTGACCCTGTCCCAGCATCTACACTGGCAGTGTGCTGCGTCATAGGGGAGGAAGGTGTTGCCAGTGTTACCCACATCAGTGTCACATCAGGGACAAAAAAGGTTTCAACATCTTAATGTTGAGGTTTCTGGTATAGCCTTCCCAGTGAGATCTAGGATCTGGGATCTGCTACATTTTGAGGGAAATTGTTACTGGCTCATGGCACCAAGTTTCAAGCTGAGAAGTGTAGGGTCCAAATGCAGTTCCATGCACTAAGCCCCAGCTCTCAGGGATGCTCAGCCTGAGTGCCCTTCTTTCTTCATAAGGCGTCTTCTCTTCCTGAACTGAAGGGAGCTGCTGGTAGGCAAAAATCTCCTGCATCCATTCACAGGAGACATTGCTCTCACTTGACTTTGGGCATGTGTGACGTCAGTTGGAGTGTTCTGCTTACCTGAAACTCATGAGGTGGCACTTTTTGGTCTCACTTTCTGATTCACTCAATTTCGTGGATTTCTAGGGAGATGGCTGGCTGGTGCTCTGAAGATGACTATGGGGGAAGTGCTACAAGGAAGAGTAGAAAGTCTAGACATTTTTCTAGATGTGCATGAGTCTAGTTGAGCATGTCAACCCTCAACTAGGGTGGACAGTGTTTATTTTAATCATCCTGACAAGCTTCTGGTAGATATGATTGATGTTTTACATCATATAAAGCAAAGTACTTTAATTAGTGGATAGTTGCTTATTTCACTTTAGTTTCCTTTATTTTTCTCCTTTCTTCTTTCGCAGCTTCTGTTCCAGGGAAGGAACCCAGGTGTGGCCTGGGAGTACTCACTGCCTCGGTTGGGTGCCGAGAAGAAGCCCACTGACCAGCCCAGCTACACGTGGGCCATCGTGCGCTCCGAGTGCTCTGTCTCCTGCGGAGGAGGTAGGTTGTGACCTGCTGCCCCTAGAAACAGCACATTGGTGCTGGTGCAGTCAGGCCATGGGGTGCACTTCAGTGGTCCTTGTTGTGTCCTAGCAGGAGCTAGGGCCTCTCCATGAGGTCCTGAGCATCTTCTGCAGCTGAAGCTGCCTTTTCCACTTCATTTATGTCTATGGTGGCTTTGAGGAAGTTGATTGGGGCATTTCTTCTTGTTTTGTCACGTTTAAGACTTTTTAATGATAATTTTGTGATTTAATATTATTAAATACAAGTTGCACTCATTATTAGAACCCCCAAGAAAAGCAGAGGAGAATTAAAAATGGGGTTTTGTTCAGGGACACTTACCTTAGTGGTCCTGAGCTGTGTGGTGTCCTTCTATCCAGCTCTTCAAGCACACTTTGAGGTGAATGCTAAAATGAGGACGCCCTCTTTCCAAGAAGCAGGTGTCCTCCCCCATTCCTAGAGCTTCTCCAGCCACAGGAAAAGGCCTCTCCGAATGACGAGGAGGATCAAGTGTCTGTCCTGTCCTCCATGCCCTGTGCTCCAATGGTGGCCATAGCCAGCTCCTCTCCATGCCTCCATGCATGTACTTGTGCTCTCAGGGTTTCAAATCTGCAAACCCAGAAACTGAAATATGGGTCATAAGTGCTTGTGTCAGAAGGAACTGCTGAACTGCTATGGTTTGAATCTCCTGGGGGAATTTAATCCACAAAGTCTTATGTTAATGCAATTAGGAGAGTGGAAACTTAATCCCACTGTGGTGCTCAGAGGAGGGGCCCATAAGTAGATATTAGATGGGGTCAGATCTCCATGGCTTTGTAAGAGAGGGAAAGAAACCAGAGCTACACAGGTATTCCCGCCATGATGGGATGCACCCAAGGGGCCTTTGCCAGAGGCTGCACCATGCTGTTTGGACTTCCAGCTTCTAAAATGGTGAGCTAAACACAAACCTCTTTTATCTATAAAGCAACTTGCCTTATGTATTTCATTATAATGACCAAAAAGCTGACTAATACCATACTTCTCTGCCATTTTTGATAAGTAGATGCTGTCAGGGAAGTTGGGGAGTTGATCCAGTTCTCTGTTAATTAGAGTCTCCTTCTGTGACCCAGAAAGCTGCCACCAGTCATCCATAAATGGCCATTGTCACCACCATCTGTACTGTGGTGCAGACTAGAATCCCCTATGCTCAGAGTAATTGTGCCTGGCAAAGCTGTCACTTAAATAGATGCAGAGTCATTCAGCATCTGAACACCTCCCAGGAAGGTGCCATTCTGGGTTCTTAGATGTGTCTTTCTTTCCTCATCTGATTCAGAGATTCTGGAAGGTTTATTTGCTCAGAACCCTTCGATCATTTATCTACCACTTACTATAGAAATGGTGCATGTTTCTCAGGAGATTTACACAATCATTTGTGGAATATTTTCTAGATTTTTGCTCAGTTTTTCTTACAGAATTGGTCGACTTCCTTGTTTTTCTTTATAAAAGAAAGATAAAGCTGTTGGCAACAGCTGGAATTCATTCTATAGTTAGAATTATTGAACTTAGAGATTCTTTGATAAAAGCTTACTCTTTAAAGATGAATATACCTTTTCAGGTACTTTGGCAAGATATGATGAGTTCTAAGTGATTCTAAGGACTGCTCTGAGCTGGTTTCTGTAAAAAGATAAGTGAATTTCCTGAGCACATTGCTCACTAAACTCATCACCTCTGAGGCCAGGACAGTGAATGGATTGTTCTTCTGAATTTCTGACTTTAGTCTTTGAATTTTGTGCTCTTCCCTTCTCTTATTTATTAATATAGGTCATGTCAGAAAACTGGCCAGCATGACTCTGGCATCCTAAGTATTATGTGTTTTCTTTGTGACAAAGTCAAATGATTATAAACAATGCCAAGCAACTGTTTCATGGATGTGCCATTAGTCAGAGAAACTGAGCCTGAGTCTCCAAAAATGTCCAGCCAAATGGTTGAGGAGATCCCGTTGTATCATGCATGACTGGTCTCCCAACACAATTATCCACAACCTGGTGTAAAAACAGACCTTGGAAAACCCAAGTACCAATGGACGGATGGATGTCCGCTTACATTTTTATCTTCTCAGAATATTTAGAAAGTTTAAAACAGTCAGGAAAAAAGAAGCATTGAAGTTCACTTTTATGTTTACTAGTGTTTACATGTTGTGGAAGTCAGAATTGTCCAAATGAACCAAAAGCAGAAATATGTACACATACATATATATACATACATCATCATCTGTGTCTTCATATAGATTTATAGGTGTGTGACTCTTATATGGGTGATTGGCTCCAATAGCTATGGAGGATGTGGGGTCCCACAGTCTGCTGTTCACAGGTCTGGGGACCAGGGGAGCCATGGTATAATTCAGTGCCAGTAAAGGTGGAGGTCTGGGGAGAAGAGCGGAAGTCCTGGTGCCAATGGGAACTGCAAAAGCTGCTTCTTTCAGTCGAGGTGACACAGAATCTAGGAGGTTGAATGTGTTCATCACATGCATAATGTGAGAAAACCCTCTGAGTAAGAACCCAGGAAAAATCTTTCCACAAAAAGACAGACATTGGGCAAAGACAGACAGAGTGTGGCTTCTTTTGCTGGATTTTCAGTCCATTCAGAAAACTGCAGGTGAAGAGATTGAACCGTTGGCACATGAGCAAGCACAGTCTTGTGGACAGACCACAGAAAAGCAGAGAAGCAGGAGAAGACTTGGACAGAAATCCTAAGGGAGACCTGGTCGTGGTAGGAGTCAGAAACTGAGGGACAAAATTGGGGTGGGGAATAAGGAATTTGAGCGCTCCTGTCTGTGCCTGTGAGCTCGGAGGTCCTTGCATCAAGCCAAGCCCCTCTGATCTCCTGTGATTCCCCTTTTCTCTGGATTAACTGAACAGTTAACCCAAACTTACTCCCTGATGGCTGAATCATGTGACATCTGGGGACTCCCTAGTGTGCAGGTGTGGACTCTGGCCCAGACAGAGAGTGGACTGGATATGGTGGGTGATTTGGAGAGGATGCAGTCTGGAGTCTGCCTTCTGCTGAAGGAGGGCTTTGACAGCCTCTCCACTACTCTGTCTCTTCGCTGTGATGTGGCACATGTTTCAGGCTCACAGAATTGTGTTTTAAGGGGGTCTTTGTGGTCCTGTCTAGTTTTGTTTTCTGTGGTCTTTGTTAATCAACACTACATAGGATGAGTCAAAGGAAAAACGAAAATCAGTTCTTCCCCATCCTCCTGGCCTGTCCTCCTCCCCTCACTCCTTAGGTCTCCAATGCTGAGCCTCCTGGCAGCCCATGAGCAGTCAGGAGTGCAGAGTCAGAGCAGGTGGAGAGGATGCAGAGGTAGAGGGCCCCACGGGGAGATCAGAGCACCTGGAGCAGTGGAGCTCCTGGAACCACACCTGTCCAGGGTGCCAGATGTCAGCAAATCCACTTTCACGAGGGAACTTTGCATATGCTGGGATTCCATTCAAATGCCATAAATACCTAAAAAGTAAAGAGGACAAATGTTCTCCATACCCCACTCCTTGACCGATGTCCCACTCTGTCTCACTCCACACACAGCATCCGGTACATGTGCCCCCTTCAGAGAACCCTCAGTGATGACCCTTTCCCACAGCATCACGTAATTTGTGTCTTTCCTTTGCAAAGTCTGTCCCTGTGTTTGCTGGGGATGCCCCATTTCCAATGTGCCAGTCCACACATGGGGCCAAATATGTTCAAGTGCAATTCTCACTTTCAATGGACTGTAAGTGGCTTCCATATTCCACTCATTTCTTAGAAATTGCAAAAATAAGCTCCATTTTTGGAGAGAGTGTTTCAAAGGAAATCTTCTCCAAACTCTAAAATCTTTTCTCATGGGAAAACCTGCCTATGCATGTGCAGACACACCACACACACACACACACACTCACTGTGTGTGCCATGGACACAGTGATTGAAGAGTAGCACGAGACCTGAGTGATGGAGTTGTAAAGACTTTGCTCACACTTTCCTAATGTCAGGGTCTAACCAGCCTGAGATTACTTAGGAACAATCCTGTGGAAAGTAACTGAGATGCTCTTGGCATCAGAGTGCCCCATCCCAGCTTCCTCGTCGCTGGGCACAATTAGAAATGCAGGTTCTTGCAGCCCAGACCTGCTGCACTCCTTCAGGCAAGGCCTGATGGCTGCTGAGCAGGAACCCCCAGTGTTCCTGATGCACTGTAGAGAAGCTCTGGTGTGTGTAGGGGGTCACTTTCCACTGTGACTGTGCAGCAGGACTGCTCTCCAAACATATTGTATGCAAAGCCCACTTCGTTGTGCTCTACCTGTCCCCCAAAGCCTCCAGACGTTTCTAGAGTCACAGGTGTTCAGGAATCACCTTGGGAAAGCTATCGCCCTGGGGAAAAAATGGTTCCAAAAGAAGAGCAATAAACTTCACTGAACACAAATGAACTGTCAAGATTGCCTCCCAAGGGTGTGACAGTAAACTTCACCTCATTATCTGTGGCAGGTGAGAGTGAAGATGGCTTCACAGGGAGTTAGTGAGAATTGAAGACAGGAGCTTCCCTGGGAAACTCCCAGGACTCCAGTCTGGGGAGCATTAGAAGAACACTCCCCCTGCAATTTTATGTTTTGCCTTTCAGTGTGAAACTTTTCAGGAAAATCATCTGTACTTCCTGCTTCCTTCCCCACTCTGGGACCACCTTCTGAAACCCAACTCCATAGGCTTCCTTTCTGCCTGCCAAAACCTCACACAGTCACCACATCCAAAGCTCTTCCCTTTGCATTTGCCTTGAAATCTCCCAGCAATCTTACTGGCCATTGTTTGAAAGTGATTCTTCCCTTATCTCCTAAGACCTCTTCATCTTCGTGTATAACTGGTATATAACAAAATCAATGTCCCTTTCTTCTGCACTCTCCTCAGAGGCCTGGTTTGTTCTCATGTTTCCCTCATCCTCACTGCCCATGAGGGGCCTTGGGTCTTTCCTTGCCTATCTCTACCTCCATGTTTGTCTTCTTGTCATCACCCTGGCCTGATGGACACCTTCACCTGGATTGTACCCTCACACCAAAGCCATACCGAAGACCACTCAGTCTTCTCAAATTTTGGATTGAGCTTTTAGTTGCTACCAAAGAATTTCTAAAAGTCCACTTTGCTCTCTGTCTGTAGCTTTTGTTTCTCTACTCCTCCAAATCAGTTAACTAACAGACCTGTATTAATAGCTCTTGCATTTCCTAAATTCCCTTGTGATTTTCATGTCACTTGTATTATTCATTCTATCTAATTATGTAAACCAGTGCCCCTAAGATAGTGTTAACTGATGGTGATAATAAGTACATTATTTTCTTATTACTGAACTTAATGAAACATTTCTAGTTTTCCTGTAATGCTAGATTCTAGCCTTAAATAAACATAAATATCTATTTCTATCTATGTAGACACTGATATATAAACACACACATATCACACAAGCACACAGACACAGATTTATAATATATTGATGTGAGGAAATTCTTATCTGTTGTATGTTCCATGTTTTTATCAGAAATGGAGGCTGAATTAATCACATGATGAAATTTATTACATTTGTGGTGAAGCTCATGTTTGTTCTTTGATTCGTTAAGTGGTGAAATATGTTTTTAGATTTTCCTAATATTCAGCCATGCTTGCTATGAATTGTTATCTAGTGATATATTTTTTCACTGTGTTACTTGATTCTATTGTCTATGAATTTATTTAGCACTTTCCATATTAAAACATTACTGAGAGTTATTAAGCTGTACTTTTCTATTGTGTGCTAAAATGTACAAAATTTATTTCTTTCAGTGTGGAAACCTTGTTTATTTTTTATGCTCTGGAGTAGTGTAAATAGTTCTGGAATTATCTGTTTTTCCACACTTGGAATAATTGAAGCATGTCAATCTGTTGCCTCTGTAGTCTTAAGTCTCTATAAAATTTTATATTCTGGATGGTAATTGTACTACTTTATTTTGTTTATCCTTTTGGAGTTGGTTTTGTTCTCATTGAGACAACTATCTTTTTCTATAGGATTTAATATTTTTATGTATTTAATCTGAGTACCTCACTAGATTATTTTTAATTCTTCCGTATGTGAATTTTTAAATTCTCCTTTCTTATCATGTCCATTTTTGCTCATTACTTATTTTCACTAAGTCAGTATATTGATGACAGTTATCCAAGAAATCAGAAACAGGTGTAGATATGCAAACACAAGTTATTGAATACAAGGGATTGGTTGCTTACAAAATAGCCAGAGAGGACAAAAGGACAAAGGTCACAGGCAGGCACCTGTAGCTCTTGGAGTCATTCTCACTCAAGACCCAGGAAGCCACAGAAACTCTAGAACTCACTGGTGAAGATTAAGGCTAAGCCTCAGAAAGCAGATGATTGTCAGGCAAATGCCTCGAGAGCACTACAAGCATGGTGACATGGCTTCTCTCTCCTCCTTCCCACCAAATCTTGTGCTGGTGCCTCACACTAGCAGAATCTAGATGAAAGTGGATAGATAAGGGAGTTATAAAAGAGAGAATAATGGAAGGGATGAGGGTTCATAGGATCAAAAATATGACATGCATGCGTGAAAGTGTCATAACAAAACCCATTATTTTATGCAATTAATATGCACTAATTTTTAAAAAAATGCAGTGATAACTTCTGCCCCTCTGATCCATGAAGCGGAGGAGTAGCCAGAGTTGTATTTTATCATGCTATTTTCTGATATATTGATTTCTGTTTCTAATACACTGATGTCTGTTTCTTTATCAATTCTCTCTTTCTGTTTCCTTGGGCTAACCTTTTTTCTAACATCCTAATTAGATATTTGGGTCACTTATTTCTATTCTTATTTATTAATCTAAGTATTTATGACCATGAGTTGTCCTCTTAGTTTTACTTAAGCTACTTCCCAAAGATTATTTTATAGAATTTTCATCATTATCTTCTTAAGAAAAGTTTGTTTCAAACCTGTTAACAACCCTCCTTTCTCTTTGTCTTGATTAATTCCTAAAACTCCCAAGGGTACACTTTCTTTCATAATCATATATAGTAAGCTTATTTGAGGATTTATTACACATGGTTTTTACCAAGTAGTCAAAAAATAATAAAAAAATCAAAGGAAATTTTGATGCAGAACCATATCCCTGCTATAAAGGGTCTACTGTAGCTCTTAACTGAAAACTGTATTACCCCTCTTATAGAGCATGGGGAAGCCTGTGGATATCAGGATGATTGAGGGGTGGGCTGCTTTAGACATTAACAGATAGGATCCAGGGACACTAAAACCTAACACTTTTTGCAACTGTGCCTTGCAACTAAGGATGTTATTGCCTGAAAAACCAGTAGAGTCTTATTAAGAAAAATGAAAGTGCTTAAAAGCCAAAGGTAAACAGTTACTCACAGAGTCAACTTGCTCACCTGTTGGACAAATCCCAGATCTTTTCTTATAGCTGTAGATTGTTGTTTAATTATCATATAATTACTAGGTCTGGATTTCCTCCCTCCCCAATTGACAGGAAAAATTTGGGGGATCTTGGACATAGAAATTGACTGACACATAGGCAGCTCAAGAGTGAAGCCAAATAAATGTCTCTATTAAGAAAGAAAAATAATTGCATTAATAAAGTCAACTTCTGTTCCTATCCCAAAGCAAAACAAAATTCTCAATTGTTTAGTTAGGGGACTGTACCTTGCTCAGACTCATCTGTGATCTTGAAGCCACGATGCTTTGCTGAGACTTGAGCAGATTTGAATTTCACCTATTTTTAGTTTCACAACAGGAAGCTAAATTTAGTCATTGTTTACAGAATCACATCTCCTCAAACACCACAAGAGTAGAATTAAAAAATAAAATCAGACTTTGAACTTGAAATATAAGTAGAGGAAAAGATTAATTTTTCTGCAGTACTCATTAGGAAGACCTCAACCATATTTAGAAAATTGTACAATTTCTTAGTATGTTACTCGTTTAAATTGTGTCATTATGATTATTAATTTAAGAAAGTAAGATTCTTGGCAGAATGGTTTTAAATAGACACTTGCTTCTTTTTTTCTAATTTAGAGGTCTCTCATTCCTAGTTAGCAAGTAGAAAAATTAGTTCATAAAACACCAATTCAAGTTGTGTCTCGGTGTGGGTATAAAACTTATCCTAAATATGTATAAAAAATATAAACTTGATTTTGACTAAGTATTACTTAATTCCTCTTAACTGTGTGAACTCAGAAGTTACTGAACCTAAAAGGTTGCCAGTGGGTCAGAGAGCACTGACTAATGAGAGAACAAATTAATACATGCAAGCTACTGGAATTTCAGAAATGAGTAACACATACCCGATGTCCTCTACAAATTTGGCCCAACAGATGGCACGTATGTGTTCTCCAGGTCTTTAATAAGAGCCACCATGTGACACATTGCCCCAACGAGGGTGTTTTGAGAAGGAAAGATGACTATTGTCGTTTCACAGAACAAATAAGCATAAGCCTGAGCTACACTGATGTCAACTGCTTTTACTCAACACTTACGACACCAAGCCTATGGGTTTTTTCATAATGACAGGCTGTCTCCACTCTCTGGACACCAGCTGGGTGTTGTACAGTTGAATTCAGTTCACAATGACTTCCCAGAGTCAACCTCAGCCTCTGTAGTTGAGGGTTAGTCCCTGAATATTTCTTCTACTTGGAAACCAAGCAGTGAGTCCCCATGTGTGTAAGTCTATTTTCTGGTACTATGACTGAATACTACAGACTGAGTGATTTATAAAGAATGAAGGTTTATTCGGCTCCTGGTGGTGAAGATTGGATCTGAGGTCCTTGCTGGTAGCTACTGCAGAATCCCAAGGCAGCAAAAGACCTCACATGATACCATAGAACACCAAACCCAGTTCTTTCCTCCTCTTCCTACCATGCCACCTCCATTATTGACCCACCTCTGTGTTCTCCTGTAACCTTCATTACCCCCCAAAGATCCCACCTCCAAATACCTTCATCAGATTGAGTTTCCACCCTCACAAATTTAATGCTTACAAAGAAGATCAAGTTTCTCCTTGAGTTACGGCAAAGACATTCAAACCACAGACCAGGGTACCAACACTTGTGTCCAACATAGCTACAAAGTTGGGAGTTTTACAGCCCTGAGCTATCAGGTTCTATCACTAGCTAGAATGGCTCAAAGGAGTCAGGAAGCCTTCATTTACTATCACAGGGCTATTGTAAAGGATACAAATGAATGGCCAGGTGAACAGATCCATATGCTTAAGGACGTGAAGGGCCCCAAGCACAGGACCTCCTGTTCCCATGTTGCTGGAATGTGCCACCTTCCCACACTCGTAGAACTGAGTCCTCATGTAGGACTCTGTGCAGACTAAAAGTTGTGGGTGCAACTGCCCACTGGAGATAACTCAGTGTCAAGTCCCCACCCCCTCTGGATGCTGGGGAGGGCAGGCGAGGTGTGAGGACTGAAAGTCCCAGCCTTCTGCTCATTCCTTGGTCTTTGTGGTTACCAGAATCTCCTGGAGTTCTGTGGGACCACAGTCCCCACTTCAGTATACGAAGATTCTCCTGCATGACAGAGGGTCCCAGGGGTTAGGAGCTCTGTGCCCTATTTCACACTTGGGGACACTGGAACATGAAAGTCATGGCTCCAATGTTTTCGGCATCAGTGCTTCTCCAGGTGGGTCTAGCAACCTTGACAGAAGCTGAGCACTTGTCACACATGTAAATCCTCCTGCATTGAAACTGCAGGTGGGCCTAGCGTGATGGGTTTTCACCAGCAAGCCCTCCAGTGAATGCGAGCCCCTCTCTGCTTTGGGAATCTTGACCAAGGAAGGAATTCAGAGAAGAGTGGTGGGATCTGATTTACAAGGTTAAGAGAAACCATCTAGGTAAGCCCAGAGGCAAGGCAGTAGAGAATAGCATTCTAGGTACAGAGGAGAGCAGATAGGCAGGCTGGGACATGAGAGGACAAAGAAAAAGCCACAGGACAAGGTACAGCAACAAACAGCGAGAAGTGCAAGGCCAAAAAGTCCAGAATTTAAGCAAATGAATATAAGCATTTAATCTGGGAGTACAGGAGTGTGTGTGTGTGTGTGTGTGTGTCAGTATGCTCACACATGGAAGGAATTTGAAAATAAATCTACTTTAAAGACATTGTAGAAAAATGGAAGCTGATTTCCCACAGAGCCATATCTTCCCTCCTGAGGGGACAAACCTAAAAGGCCGTGAATACCCAGCATTTGGGGGATCCCCCTCAGTGCTTGTGTTTGTGATGCAACAGATCACATGGAGATCCATTACAGTGGTTCTGAGTGATGAATCTTTGGGAGTTCACTTTTTTCCACAGTGGATCCTATTATGAAGCCATCTAGGCTGTCCACACTTCTCTGTCAATCCTTCCTTCCTGAACTTGCTGTAGCTTTGGCAAGCTAAGACACCTGAGTAGAATCCTGTGACCCCTGGGGCCTGCTGATCCATCTCCAGTGTTCATCTGTCTCCCACACAAGGATCTGCCATGTGTGTAGATATGAAGTTTGGCACCTGAATTATATTATTGCACCCACTGTGTTTACAGGTGCCCTGGTGATACCACTGAGCTGTGCTAAGCATCCTCCTCTCCACCTGGATCACACGTGCCCACTGGGAAGTTGGGGCCTTGAAGGCTGGCCAGGAAACCCCTCTTTGGCTTCTTGATTGTATCTGTTAGAGCAAATGTCAGGGATATGAACTAACCAGAGGGTTGAATTGTTCATTTTTATTATCTTACTATTGTCTTAAGAAATAGCGTTTCATCTTTGACTGATGTCAACTTGACCTTGTCCTCGTTAGTCCTTAGTGGTATGATCACTGTCTTTTTCTCTCATAGAAATACTCTTCAAGTGACTCAGTTTCCAGAAATTTTCTTATGCTTCTATAGAGTGTTTTGTGACCTTTTCCAAAGTCATGTTTTTAAATAAAACCCTCCTGATCTGAGATCTTTAAATCAGGAAGAAGTAATTGCAAAATTCACATGAGAAGAACACCAAATGGAAACCACTTGCGTTGGTTTAATATAGTGTTTTATCAAATCATCAGAGAGCTGAATAATTTCACAAAACCGAAAGGGTCCTAGGTGACCACAGTTCTTCCTCAGTAGCTCCAGGAAACAGGTACTTAGGAGCTCAGACCTAGGAGTTTGCCCTGTTGCCCCTGACTTTGAACTTGGGAGAGCTGCTGTACCTTGGCCCATTGAGAAAACTGATCTTTAAAAAGTGTACCATTCCTGCTGATGACCTCATTTCTTTACACAAGACAGTGGCAAAATGCCAGACTTGGTTCCAATGTGCATTTTAGAAACTTTGCTTTCTTTTAAAAATGGCTTGGCTTCCAGGGAGCAGTGTATTTAAGGAATTATTGTGATGCTTTGCTTCTCTGAGACCATCTCTTTGGTGCATTCCCTCATGAGCAAGCTCTGGTGAGCTGGTGGTGATAGCTGCCAAGTTGGATGGGTGCATGGCGGAAAGCCAGGTTGAGTCCCACCAAAGTGGAGCTGCAGAGGGAGACCAGGCGATCCACACAAGCAGGACCTCTCTGTTCTCAGTTCTTCAGAGCATGGCAATTAAATTGTTCTTCTATCTTAACATATCCAATTGTGTTCATCTTAAACCAACACTAATTTGGTTTTCTTATTCATCTCTATTGAATAAACTGTTCAATCATATAAAATGATCACATAAATACCACATAAGTCTATTTTTGTATCATGTTCATATTTATATCATGGCAAAATATACATAGCATGAAATTTACCATTTTTGAGTACAATTCGATGGCCTTCTAACATTTTTACATTATTGTACAACCATCACCACCATCCACCTCCAGAACGAATTCATCTTCCCACATGTTCTGTACTCATTAAACAATAATGAGTACATTACTCCCATTCTCCCTCCTCTGTGGCCCCTGGCAACCACCATTCTGCTTATCTCACATAATAGTTCTTTGGGAATGAAGTTAATTAATGGAAATATTGAACATATTAGGGGATATTTGTAAAACCTTAAGTAGGATATGGAGGCTGAGAATCAAGCCAACTTCAGTTCCATTGAGCTCACTTGAAATGGTTCCTGGGTCATGATGGTGAGAAGTTTGACATTTAGGTTGTGACCATGGCAATATTTAGCTGTGTGAATGTGCAGATAGACTGCCTATTGTTTGTTGTCTATGTTCCTTGCTGATGTATAACTAATTATTTCCTCTTGTCCCCTGTCAAGTGGAAACATGAGCTGGGTATGTTTGATATTGGTGTTTCTTTTGAAAATGACTGGTATTACCAGCTATGGAAAAGAACTAGTATATTTCATCAAATATATAACAGTTTCAGTCGCAAGACATACGTTGAATTAAAGATGCAAAAATGCAGGGGGAGTATGATAATTAAAAATCATTATGAAGACAGGTCAGAAAATGGAATATTAATAGCTGTCAGTTGGACAATAACATACAAGTACACTTAAGATTTTTTAAAAGATTTTGTGAGCTCTTCATCTGCCGTTTACCTACTATTTCAAGACTTTATTGCACGCCTCTCCTTTTCCACAGGACAGATGACCACAAAAGAAGTCTGCTATAGAGACCTGAGGTTCCAAGTGAATGTGTCCTTCTGCAATCCCAAGACCCGACCTGTCACTGGATTGGTGTCTTGCAAGGTGTCCACCTGTCCTCCCAGGTAAGACGCATCATGTCCATCTTAGCATGTTCACATTTGGCTGATGTGCTCTGTGAGTCCTTGGAACTCCTGAGCCTGGAAAATGAGAAGCACTAACGACCATCAGGTAACTCATAAGAGCAAAGAGGCAGCAAGAGCAGCCTGAACGGAGGACCTAAAAGAGGATGCTCGAGTGAGAGATGGTCTAGAGATTCTTTCATACTAAGTGGACATTCTTACATGGTTGAATTCTATTTTAAAATAAGATTTTTGGTTTTAGTTTTCCTTTACTTAATCTCAGGCCAGCACATTCTGTGGTGACAGTGACATGTTCTCTCTTAGCCGCTAGTCCCATGCTTAGCTTTTCCCTTGCTGCATGAAATGTGGTGGAAGAACCAATCTCACAGTCTGCCCAGGTTGGTAGGGTCTTAATGCTGTGCCCTCCACAGGGCGTAAATGTGTGACAGAGAGAGAGCCTTGGAGAACCAGGGTTCTGTCAGCCTCTGTATATTTCTAGTTGCAAGCTGGAGTTCTCTGAGACATGGAGTCCCTGAGAGGCAGTGTGGTCCTGCTGTGCCCCAGGAGGCATCTTGCTGTCTTCATCTCTAAGTGGGGACAGATGGTGGGGAAAATGACTAAAGAGTAGGTATTTTTGGATGGCATTCTAGCTTCAACAAGACCCTTCAGAATGCCCAAAGCGCTCATATATTTTGATTGTAAAGAACCATCAAAGCTGGTGGGTTGGGAAAATGTGACTCAACAACATGAAGCTGGATGTTCTTCCCTGGATAATCAAATACAGAAGATTCCAGGCACTTTTCAGAGCTCCCTGGCACCCCTTGCTCTCTCTCAGTATAGAGATAGAGGCCATTTCCCAGGACTTGAAGAGCTGGGAATGGTGTCTCCCTGAAGATCCAGGCTTTTCTGCACAGCTGCCCCAGTGCAGCTAGGATCCACCATCTTTCTGCGCCAGCAGCCCCTCCTCAAGTCTTGGTTCCTTGACCCCCATGTCCTACAGGTACTGAGGGAGATGCTCGTGAGAAGTTAAACAAGAGTTTTAGTGCTTCTAGTCCATTAGTCAGATCTGAGATGTCAGATGCCTCCCTGGGATTCTTTCAGGGTCAAAAGATGACCTTGGAATCCATGAATTCAGGAGTCATAGCAGTATTGCAGCCTGCCAATGCTCTCCTACAGGGCCTCCCTGCACTGATAGTCCCAAAGGCTGGGCTCAGTTTGCCAGCAAAATCTCAGCCCACCATGGACTCCTTCTGGGCCTGCAGTCGTGTCCCAATGCGGGGCCTGCAGGAGCATTTAGAAGTGAACCCTATGGCCAGCTGAGGCAGGAAGAAACAGGCCACTGCTGTCTGCAAGAAGGATTGCTCTGTCTGGAGGAAACAGACCCCTAAGATAAATGAAGCTATACCAGAGCTATTACAGAAGGGAAGACAGTCTAGTGTGAACTGACTCAATGGTAATCTGTACAGAGGTCCTGGGTGTGCAAAGGGAGAATGAGCCACAGGGTGGGATGAGCAGAACTTGGTTGAGTCAAGGGAGGAAAATAATACAGTTCAGGTGGAGAATGAGAAGGTGGTCAGGTCCTTGTGAAGCCCACCTGGGTTTCTCCCCTCCCACAGAGAAGGACAGGGCCCTGTCTGCAGGTGGTGGCTGGATCAAGCAGAAAATGCTTTCTGGCAGCCTTGGGTTTTCTCAGGCAGGTGCCCAGTGGGTATGGGGTAATCTAGGGACATGGTCTTGAGCTGGGGTTCAGGTCTAGTCTGAAGATGGCTCAGGGGAGCCTCATGCAGGCTGCTTAGCCAGGTTTAGAAAGCCCAGAATCTTTCTCATTTATTGCACCAACTTGATCCTGTCTCCTTGGACCATTGGTCTGCACCTGTGCTCTAGTTAATGTCACCAGGTGAGAGGAATTGCTTAGCACCTTTGCAATCTGTTGTTTGTTTGTTTTATGGTACTGGCGATTGCAAGGCAAAGCACTCTAACACTTGAGTCACGCCCCCAGTTCTTTTTTGCATTCAGTTTGTTTTTCAGATCTGGTCTCATGCTAGCTTTTGCTTGGACTGGCCTTGAACCATGGTCCTCTAACTTCTGCCTTCTGAGTAGCTGGAATTACAGCTGTGAGCCACCACACCTAGTTTGTTTTTAAGATAGGGTCTCTAGCTATCTCAAAATTTCCCCGTCGGCCTAGAACGGTGATTCTCCTTCCTCTACCTCCCAAGTAGCTGGAATTACAGACATTTCCCACCATACTGGACCCAAACTTCTGTGTCATCTTGTGGACTCACCAAAGTATGTGCAATGTTATCAACCAGTAAGTCATTAAGAAGCGCACAACTGTGCATGTACTTAGGTATTCACGTATGTTTATTAGTGCATTGTTGTTTTTCCTTATAAGTCACCCATTTGTAATGACCGATTTTTCTCATTGGGTTTCCTCTGTCTTTTTTCCTGTCATGGAGCTATCTAGTGCCAAAGACACTTCTGTATCCTTCTGTGCCCTATATTCTACGTTTAACTCATTTTGATACAGTTTAATAAATGAATTCTGTCAAGAGCATTGTATGCTGAAAGAGAAGCCACAGTTCAGTGACTGAAGGGTCAGTTTAGGGTACAGCTGACTGCACATGGAAACAATTAGACTTGCAGGACCTCACATTCACCTAGGAAAGCCCAGTGACCTCCACCTTTTCAAACTCCTTCCTGTACATAGCCTGTAGTTTGGAATCTCTGGATTGTCCTCAGAGAGAAAACATTCAGAGACAACACCTCACTGCAAAGCCCAAGTCATACATTCCTGGCCGAGATGTTCTTTTGGAGTTCAAGGTGGCACCTGTCCCATTCCTGCCTTGCCCCCACAAGTCGCAGGGGACTGGTACTACATGGGTCTCTATTTACCTGTGAAACAGGAGGCCCAGACTCCCATCCCACAGCTCTGCTGTGTGGACACTTGTGATGTTGGGGCTTCAGCTGTGGATAATGTCACTGAGCTGTAGGGAGAGCAGGACCCAGGGCTCCCTGCCCCAGTGCCTGGGCTCTACCTGCCTTCACCCACCTCAGACGCTATCCAGATCACAGTGATACCTGCCTTGTCATAGGGTAAGGTGAGGACTTGGTGAGGCATACAGGTGTAAGGTCTTATATATGGGAATCACAAAATGTTGGGAATTTTCATTTTTACTGTAGAAGGAGAAACAAATTCCTATCTGTTATTTACTGAGCCTGTAAAACAAAATTATCAAGGACAAAACCAGAAAAATGAATTTAGACTACATGTCAGTCTTTATAGATTATTTTATTTTAGCAATTGGGTTGGGAAAAATAGGTTTTACTTGAAAATGTTGTCTTTTTTTCTCTGAAATGTAAGAAACATTTCTCCCTTTTCCAGGAGATGGACATTTTTGCTCCTGATCAAATTCCAATCCTCTTTGCTGACCACGAAGGCACATGTCCTTCCTTTGTCCCCATGGGGCTGCTCTGGCCTCTCCCAGCCTTTGGTGCCCTGTGGCTGGGCTCTGATCAGCCTGGAGGCCGGAGCCCCTGCTCTGCATAAATACAAACACGTCCCTCCTCCCTCCGCTGCACTGCTCTGGCCAACTGGAATGGCAGGTGCAGGCACAGCGGGTGGCTCCTGCTTCACCTTCAGCTTGAAGGACGTCTCCGAAGAATGGGAAGTAGGACCTTCAAACATCTTAATCCACAGCCTTCTCATTTGTAACTTTGATAGTAAAGGAGACTGGTTCAGCTGCTCAGAGCCCCGGCCTCCTGGTCAGCATCCAGAGCCTGCCGGCGCAGGGTCTGTGTTCACAGTTGAATTACTCCCAGCCATGGGGTCGTCAACCAGATGGGATCCCCCAAAGTCATCAGTCTCTGCAGGGGGTGGGGTGTTGGGGTCCAGGGGACTCCTTGCCAGGAAGGATGTTCTTAACATATCAGCAGGAGCATCGTGGCTCAATAAGGGTGTCATCAATTGCTCTGGTATGGAAGGGAGCCAAACCGGTCCCCTGATCCTCCCCTCTCACCGAGACTGTCCTTAACCCTGGCATTGTAGGGAATGAGTAGTCCACAGCCTTCCTGTGACTCCCCTACTTCTGCCTCCACTCCAGTGTGAATCAGGAGTTTTTATCACTTGTTTTTGAAACAGTAATTACAAATTGCACAACTGTTTCCTTCATGTCGGCTTATCTAAATGGAGGCTCTTGTGTCGTTTATCTTAAGTGTCTAGTGTGCTAAGTGCCTGCCTTCCAGGAGGATGGATTGAAGACTAGAGGAAATGCTTTGCAGGTGCTGGTGGGGTCTCCTCCTTCTTGACATTCTTCTAAGCGTACAGAATAAGATTTTGTGATGCGTTTTTGTTCTCAGGAATCTACAAATGTGGCTGCACGTCCACTTCGCATTTAGTTGATCATATTATTTTGGCCTATGCCTTTGTGACGTCTTACAAACCCATAAGCAGAACCATCCCTTTTACAGCCAACATGCATAGTTCAGAAACCATCTACTTGCTTGCACCCTGTGGAAATGAGAGATAAGATTCAAAAAGAGTAATTTCATTAGTGATGTTGTTTTACAGCAAGCTCTCAGTAACAGGAAAGGGACGATGTGATTTCTTTCTTTCTTTTTTATCTCTCTTCTTGTTTAAGTACAAGCCCTGCAAACACTAGCCGCCCAGTAGTGTTTCAGTTACCAAGGAAAAGAATCCTGATCACTCAGGCATATCTGTGCAGGAGAGAGCTCTGCTCAGAAGGATGCCAGCAAAGCAAGCAGCAAGGCTCATTTGATCATCTGTGTAGACATTTTACCTGCCACAGGGTAAGGCTGCACCACCGCTGAGGGCTCCACACTTGCTTTTGTTCTCTCTGTTGCTGACATGAAGTTCTGAGTGATTTTGAAGAAGGACCCACCGTTTTTATTTCACACTGGGTTCCATGAACGACAGGGGCAGCCCTGCCCACCCATCATCACTTCTGTTTCAGCAGTGTTTTCTGGAACTCTTGGGAACTGTGCTGGAATGTGTCTTGCTTTTGCTTTTGTGAGTGCGTTGCTCTGGAGTCTGGAAGCTGTTCCACAGTGACATCAGCTTATGGATTTCTCTTGTGACACCACAGTGGTAGACATGAGCAAAGAGACACAGGTGGCAGCTGTCTTCTGTGACCTGCTTTTCATTTACAGGATGAGCGAACTGTGCCACTCTCAGAGCCCTCAGAGAGTGAAGTAGCGTGAGAACCTTCCACAGGGGCTTTTGTGACTTTTGTTATGTTTGGCGTGTGTGTTATTTTGTTTATTTATTTGTTTACATGGGAAGACTGATTTGCAGCAGTTGTAGACACACAGCAAAATTATGAGGTAGGCACAGAAATTTGCAATGTACTCCCTGCCCCAACAGCATCCCCACTATCAACATCATATATATTTATATGGTGTATAGATGTTTGTATATGTGTATTTATTATATTGTGTGTAAGAGTGTGTATGTGAGAGAGAGAGAGAACAGAACTGTAGCTTATAAACTTAAGGATATTTGTATTTTTCAGGGAACTTCACTAATTCCTTACATTAAATATCTAAATATATCATAATATTTTCACTATTCTGGTCCCCAGGCCTCTGTATGATTCACATAGTCTCTCCCCACTACCTGTTCTCTAGTAATTCAAACCATGGTGTATGTTTCAAATATTTCAGAATAAAAATAGAAGCCAAACTGATAAAGATTGACTGGTAGCCATATAGAATAGATAATAGATAGATAAGTTCATGGATAGATGATAGATTCGTAGACATATGGAGGATAGATGAAGGATAGGTAGATGTTAGATTCTTAGATACCTAGATAAATAAATTGATAGATTCATAGGTACATAGATAGATGATAGAGTCATAGATGCACAGATATAGATAGGTGCTAGATAAGTGATAGATGTATAGATACACACATGACAGGTAGATAGATAGGCAGACAGACAGACAGGCTACAAAACCAACCTGTACCTATATCCACACAGCCACTGCAGGTGTACTGATCAGTGCTTCTGAAAATGACTGTTGAGAAGGAGAAGCGTCACTCTGATTCAGGATTTTTAGGAGGAGAGCACAGTATGTTGTAAGATTTTTAGATACAATTGCTTTATTCTCTGATCCATGAGTTATTTGGAATGGTGGTTCTGCATTTCCAAATTTACGGAAACTTGAAGGTAGGTTTTTCTATCTCAAGTGTTCTTACATCAGGATGAAAGAGACCTAAAATTATTTCATTTTGGCATTTTTTGAGACTTCTTTTATAGCTTAGGAATGGGAGTCTTTATAAATCAGTTCTGTGGGGATGAAGGAATGTGTGTTCTGTGCCTCAGTGGGGTTATTTATATGACAACTAAGTCAAACTCCTTGGCTATTTATTTAAATGTTAGGTTCTAATTTTTATCTACTTTGTATAACACGTTTCTGAGTGAACTGTATTGAAATCTCACATTATTTCTGACTATTTTTTCAAAGTCTATTAATTTTCCTTCTTAATCAACTTTAAAATTCCCTCCTGTTGTGAGGTGGTTATAGATTCTGCGTGGATTACCCACTTGTCACTCATTTATGGCCATTGTCTCCAATCCTGCTTTCTAACTTGCAGTCTGTTTTGTCTGAAGTTGACAAGTGTCACTAACTTCCATTTACTTTGAGGTTTTTTTTTCCATAATTCATTTTATTTTTGAAATACCTGCTTAGGATTTTCAGTTCGTTGAGTAAATAATATTCAGCTGGATTCTATTTTTATGCAGTGAAGAATGTCTTTTATACATAAGCTTAATCTGCCTGTATGTACTGTGGTTGCTGCTGTATTTGGTTTGAACCTGTCAGTTTGTTGTATGTCTTGTTTTCCATTACTCTTCTTTGCATCCGCCATTTCCTGCCTCTAGTAGTGCCTGATATGCTTGTAGGATTTCTTGACTCTTCATACCCAGGACTGCTGGAAGTTCAAATGCTGTGTCTTCTTGGACACAACAGCAACTCAGATACACACACACGCACACTTACACACACGTACACATAAACACACACATACACACATGCACACACACATACACTCACACAGATACATACACACACAAATAATAAGTGAAACAGACCCCATGACAGATTTCTGTAACTTTTAATATATTCAGGACTACTCATCCATAACTATAAGCTCTCAGAAATAAAGAGCTACTTTCAAAGCTGGCAGGGTGTGCACATAGACTTACACTATTGGACGAGATGCAAACGGTTGCTGAGAGAGTAGTACCTGGTCGCACCTGTGCTTGCACAGGGCACCGGATTGGGAGGGAGCAAGACAGAAGTTGAGGACATTTCTTTTTTCTGTGGAAAAAAAGCAAAGTCATCCTTGAGAGTGCTTTGAGGAGGAAGAAAAATGCTTAGGGTGGGGTAGTGACCCGACCACAGTTGTGAGTTGTTAATGCTGGGGTCTCAATTGTCCTAAAGGTCCTAAATTGAGCCTAGACACCAGACCTTGGGCAATATAGATTTGGTTTAGGCAGAAGTAGAAATTAAATTGAGCTGGGTGTGATGACTCAAGTCTGTAATCCTAGCTACTTGGGAGGCGGAGATTGGAAAGATTGTAGTTTGAAGCCAGCCCAGGCAAAAAGTTGGTGAGACATCTTCTCAACCAATCAAAGCTGGATGGTGATGATCAACTGTCATTCCGGCTGCTTGGAAAGTATACATAGGAGGATCCTTGTGTATGCCATCTGGGCATAAACAGGGGACCCTATTAGAAAAATAACACAAAAAGGACTGGAGGCATGGCTCAAGTGCTATTCCTAGCAAGTTCAAGGGCCTGAGTTCAAATACCAGTATTGCAAAAAGAAAAAAAAAATGGCTACAGTGCATCTCATTTCAGTGATTGGCCAATAAACCTATGTCTATCCAGGTACCAACTGGCAGGTACGAGAGTCTTCTGTGGCTGCCTGTGCATCCCACCAAAGCACGTGCTTGGTGTGTTTCTGATATTGGTGGGTACTTGATTCATTAAAGAAGGAAAGAAAGGCCAATTCAATTTTGGAAAAGGGATAAACTCTTCTGTTCTCAAGGAGGTTTTGGTGTTGCCTCCCATCCAACGGCTAGATTGTTGTCTTGTGTTGAAGCAGGTGCTTTTTTCCTAGCCTGGAGAGAGAAGCTGGGCAAAGGAGGGCCTGGTTTGTGCCTCAGCAGAAGAACTAGCCATACACCCTTGCAGGAGGCACTTGCTTCTGGCCCACTGGCCCTGCCTTGCAGGTTCCTCAGGTCATAGGTCCCTTCTTTCTGGAAGCACCTAGAAGCAGGCGTGTTGTGTTCCAGAGGGCTTTGTTTGGGCCATCACTGGTTATATGACTCGGAATAATCACACATGCATGGCTGTGTGATGAGGTGCTCTGTCAGCATTTTACCCAACCCATGATAAGGAGCCCAATTTCAGGAGAAACATGCAACCAAGGACACTCATTCTGTGGACAAAACTTAACAGTTTGTCACACACACACACACATTTCTTTTATATTTTCAGAAGAGCAAGACCTAGGGAAAGGAAGGAGGCGTATTGTGTATTGGACAGATAGTTTTAATCACCCTCTCAGTTCAAAATTGGCTATTGAAAATCCTTTATGACTCTGGGTACCTCCTAAAAAAGACATTTATTTGCCAGCCAGTGTGTGACAAGTTCACACCTAGGACTGGTGTACACATGCCAGTTGGGGCCCACTCGGGCTGACATCAAATCCTTGGTGTCCTTTCTGATTATCCCTGCCTAGCCATGCTCTTGGAGCTAAATATTCTAAACATCAGCGTTGGGAGAATTACTTACTCATCCTACAGTGCCACTCAAGAAATAAAAACTGTGTGGCCAAATGCAAAAAGAAGCATAGAAGAAGAAATAGGACTTCAAACTGCTGAGGGTCCCCATATTGTTGAAATGTTTATATTGACATCCTTTGAGCATATCTGAGTAATACATTTTGCATATTTTGACTTATCTAAAATCATTTGATGACATTTACAGGAACACAGAACTTTTATCTAAGAAGTGCTATTTTTGTGAGAATGTTTAGATTTTGATGAGAAAATTAATCTGATTATCCCTGCCTAGCCATGCTCTTGGAGCTAAATATTCTAAACATCAGCGTTGGGAGAATTACTTACTCATCCTACAGTGCCACTCAAGAAATAAAAACTGTGTGGCCAAATGCAAAAAAGAAAGCATAGAAGAAGAAGGAAATAGGACTTCAAACTGCTGAGGGTCCCATATTGTTGAAATGTTATATTGACATCCTTTGAGCATATCTGAGTAATACATTTTGCATATTTTGACTTATCTAAAAATCATTTGATGACATTTAACAGGAACACAGCACTTTTATCTATGAAGTGCTATTTTTGGAGAATGTTTAGATTTGATGAGAAAATTAACAAATTTTATAGTTTATGAATTTGGGTTGTATAACAGGTGATATTTTGTGTGATTTACCTGTATTTATAGCCAGAAATCAGTCATATTTGAATGCTGGAAAAC